ATTAAATACAAAATTGAAATGCTATTTGACCAATGTGATATACATTTTAGTCTATCTTTTGTCTGAATTTACTTTATCTATTTATTTTCTTTACATTATACTCCCTCAACTGAATTGATCTGCCCTAGATAAGCAACTTAACAATAGAGTTGATAGATTGACGATTAGTCTCTGTGATTCAACAATCATTTATATTACTTCGATAGGCTGTGCACTTGCAGTTAGATTTTAGACTCTATAAACAGACCGATCAGAAATGTGTTGAACAACTTAATACTCTTGGGATGAGTCCAAAATATGTCATGAACAATGACTTTATTCTCACAAAACGGTGTACCTAGAAACATAGTGGTTTTCATTCAAAACTTTCAAAAGTTGTTTCGTTTTGGATCTTGGACCCTTTATCACCATGTTGTCTCGATAAGGCACATTATATATTTGCTTGATATTTAAAACACTTTCTGGTTGTTTCCATTTCAAAATTGCAAGTATGTTTTTCGACGCCACTTTGTTTAAAGACAAGTCCAAAACAATATCCTTCTCCTCCGGTTTAAGGTGATATAAGATGAGATGACTGACTAGCTCTATTTTTAAGACATGGTTACGTATTCCTTAAATCACATTAAATTTCCATATTTCATCCACCTTACAATATCTGTCCGCGCAATTTAAAAAGACAATCACATTTTCTCGTTCTGGTGTCATCATGTTTCAACTCTTGAATCGGGGGAACACACGTGCCACTTCTCTCGTATCTCATGGTTATAAATGGTTGTCTTCTATTTAAATCATTGTTGGACCTTCTGATTACAATGTCAAACCCCAAATTCTTGGCTACCATGCGGACCTATTAAAGCATATGTTCACGAGTTGTAAATATTTGTTCATTTTTGAAACGTTGACCAACATCTATCTCAACAAGAATCAGTTTAATATCATCATTCACTTCTTTCAGTTTAACACCATCCCTCACTACATCTGATTTAACACCATCCCTCACTACATCTGATTTTACATCATTACTTACATCAGTTTTGGAAATATATTCGGATGCACCATATCTAATAAGTACCAAAACAGAAAAAAAAGACTTAAAAACATTAACATAAAATTTCAAATATCCAAATCCGAAATTATGACAGGTGAATTAACCGGAGGCCTCTAAATTGGGTGATTAATATAACAATAAAATGCAGCAGTCCATTGGTCAACAGTGCATTTAGTAACATGCAGGTCTCCGATTGGTCAATAATATGCATGACACGCACATTTTAAATTTTTAAAAAAATGAATTTTGAATAATATATAGAAATTATATTTAATTTAAATTTACAGATAACAAATAAAAAAATTTATTTATTATTACATTTATATGATCAAATATAATACATTATTATTTATGTTTAGTTCTATTACATTTTTGTGTTATTTTATAAAAAACTTTTTATTAGATTTTATTTTGTAATAATAAATTAAAACTTAAAAAATTCACTATCATTTTAAGTTAAGTCAACATAATTAAATATATAATAGATTAAGTTATTAAAATTAAAAATATTTTGAACAATTTAATTAGAGTTAATCTAATTTTATGTAGTATTTATAAGATGTATAATTGTATTTAATTAATTTAGCTTCCCTTATATTTATATATCAATTTTAATAAAGTTTTGAGTTTTTTATTATTATATCTTAAAATTTTGAAAGTCTCATTATTTTAAATATAATTTTAAAATATAATTTTTTTTATTTTTGTTTTAAAAACTATAGGATCAGCCGGTATTCTCATATTTTACAATTTTAAAATTTAATTGATTATTAATTAAAACACTTCGATATTAATATTGCAAAAATCATATTTGTATTAGTCAAATTCTATTTATATATTTAAAATTATTTTTTAATTTTTAATGTTGTTTATAATTTAAATATAAAAAATAATTCTCTTTGATTTCATCAATAGTAATATAAAATTCATATTATATTTTTCAATAAGTTTTCACTTTTTCGGACATTTATCTCTCTTTTAACTCTTCAAATCCCACACACCCATTATACTCTGCCGTCATCTCTGATAACCATAACCACTGTTTTTTCTTTTGAATCGACACAACAGCCTTCTCCTCTCTCGCAAAAACAAAAGAGAAAAACACACTCGTAAATAAGAAAATATAAATTCAAAGTTAATTGTTCAATTTTTTATTAGGATTCAACTTTTATTATTTCAGCTCAACAATAAGATTAATGTAAATAATATGAAAAAAAATGAATGAATTTTATCTTAAACTCTAAATTCTTTTATTTTCTTTAATGTGATAAAATCTAAGAATATTGATTTAGAATCGAAAAAATGAAACTTATATACAATTTTGCCTAATTCTTTTTGTATATATTAATTCCTATATATTTTAAAAATTCACACATTAATCTCTATTTATTTTTGAAGTTTACAAATAAATCTTTATATTTTTTAGCATTTGCCACCGCATCAATTAATATGAATATTTTAACTTTTAATCTTTTATACACAACTTTACTATTATGAATTCAACATATCTAAAAATATTATTTAAACAATAAAAGAAAGTAATAACCTTTGTCTAGAAAAGTAATATACATGACAAAAATAACCATTTGTAGTTATAAGTTTTTATTTTTGTTGATTTCATATTTATTAATTTAAGTTTTTTTATTTCATCAATTAATTTTAATTTATATAATATATTGATTAATTTAGTTTCATAGTTTAAAAGAATGATTTATTGAATAAATTTTGTTTTTATCGAGAATCAAATTTAAATTGTTAGGAGAATAATTTTATTAAGTGTGAGTTATACTTCAGAGTTAAAATGTGGTGCAAGGATAATGTAAATTAGTTTTTACATTATAATCCAATAAAAATTCATAATTTAACTATATTATCTAATCTATTTAAAAATAATAGTATAGTTTAGTATTTAATATGATTGTGATTAGATTATAATATACACTTATTTTATATTGTTAATATATATCATTTATTTTTTATACTTAATTAAAAAGACATATAATATAAGATCTCATAAATGTATTATTTTTCTTTTGTATTTATTGAAATCATGATGAAACTCAGTTTACATGTACTTGCGTCCGTGACTATGAATCTTTCCTTCTTTCTTAAGTATAAGGCCGACTCAAAGTATAGATACTATAGATAGGTGAACTATCGTTTTAGATCTCAAATTTTTAAGTTTTTAAGATAGATTTTAAATTTAGAAAAATAACACCTCAATTATTATATAATAAATAAAAGAATAGAATAGAAAATGCAAAGGCGGAGTGTTGAAAATCTAAATAATTATCTTTTGGTATACAAGTTCGACATATTTTTTTATTTGCATATGTTATTTTACATTTATTAATTGTTCATTACAAACTAAAATTTATAATTATTTATATAAAAATTAATAATAATTATATATATATATATATATATATATATATATATATATATATATATATATATATATATATATATATATATATATATATATATATATATATATATATATATATATATATATATATATATATATATATATATATATATATATATAAAATTAAATATTTTATTTTTAAAATTTAATTCCGAATGCGTTGGCCCTGCCCTGCTTGGGCACCTTCCTTTCTCTCCTCACTGTTTGTGTTCATAATTTCAATCATTATTTCCAGCAAAAAGCATGTTGTTGAAATGAACACAATGATTATATTAATCCTGAAATTAAAAAGTAAAGTGATTCTAAATTGAGTAGATATCATTAGATAGGGGTAAAAGATTAGCGGAAAAAACATAGATACATACAAATATAATATTTAATTTTACAAACAATAAATCATATTTTTATATTAATTAAAAAATTAATCATCAAACTCAGTGCTTCTCCCCCACAAAACCACATTTTGCTTAGGGGACCATACAAAAAGATGCCATTAAATATTAAATATTAAAAAGGTATTTTCTTCATTTTTTTTAATCTTATTTTTAACCCAACATAAAAATTGTTGAAATATGAAGGATTCAAAGTATAAGATCTAAACAAGAACACATTTGTAGGTGTCAAGTCTAAGGTGGCAAAATAAATTTATCTCATCCATATGTTTATACGTTTTATTTATATATTTTTTTAAAGTAGATTAAAATTCTAAATCAGAATCTTTTAATATATTTATATTATCTATTCTTTCGAACTTTTGTAAATTTAAAAATTAATAATTATTTATAATTTTTCATTTTTAGGAGTCCAAACTTATATGTTCGCCTTATCCTATTTTTTGGGAGACGCATCAAAATTATTATGTTTCTTTTGTTATGTTCCACCCTAATTTTTATAGGGTTTTGTAGAACCATGAGACAAACATGTCTCTTTTCCATCCTATATTTACCATTTGATTAATTTTCAAATGTTCTTTTAAATCTTGTTATAAAGTAAATATATAAAAATTTAGCGAATTCAAAAGTAACAAACCTTTTTAGACTCACAAGTGTGAAATTGTGGTTAGTCAAAATAACAAAGAGTTGGAATTGTGTAAAATACACACATATGAATAGTACTTTAATAATAGAATCCACTCACATGGCCTTAACATGATTGGTGGCCAAGAACAAACTCTCTTAATGTTCAATTTGGTCCATATCCTTATCATATCAATTTTGAGGGGCTAAACCAATCTTCCCCTTCTTGGTTTCCTAACTTCAAAAAATAAAATAATAAAAAAATGTGATAAAAATAACTTCAAAAAATAAAATAAAATAACTTTACAATTATTTTCTTTTCTACAACTTCAAAAAAAAATAAAAAAAATAAAATCATTTTACAATTATTTTATTTTCTACAATATGGTAGTTACATAAAACAGCTAGCTACTTTTGGATTTATATATTACACAGAGTTTCAACTTTCAAGTTCTCTCACCTTTATATACACCTCCATTTCCCATGTGAACCTCCACAGAAAAACACAATGAGCAAAGCAATTACTACTTCTCTTGTTCTATCCTTTCTCATTATTTTCTCACACTTTGTGATTGAAATCCATGGAAAAAACAAACAAGTTGAAGCTCTTGACAATCTTCACAAGGCAAAATACATAGAAAATTCAGAAATTGACAAGACTGAATTTGAGGCACAAGAGATTGTGTATGACATTGATGCCATTGCTGATTCTCAAAAGGGTCTCAAAGAGAAAGATAGAATCAAGAAGCTTCCTGGTCAACCCTATGTGAAATTCTCTCAATTTGGAGGGTATGTTACATTGGATAAATTGAGTGGTACTGCTTTTTACTATTACTTTGTTGAAGCTCATCAATCTAAAGAAACACTTCCACTTCTTCTTTGGCTCAATGGAGGTAAAAAAAAAAAATCATTATTATCATTATATTTGTTAGATTTAATTTATTTAGTATTTATTTAAATGCATAATGTTGGTTGTTGAAGTATCATAAAATTAAGGTGGAAACTCTTTATTTAATTTGAAAGTCTTTATGTGTGACTATGACCACTGGCATGCACATGTAAAATGTCTCTTTGTCTTTTGTATTACATTTTAGGTGAAACATCATTTACATCTGAACTATTATGTTCCATTAAAAAGAAAACTAAAGAACATGGCCAATAATAATAATAATAATAATTAATAAAAAAGTAAACTTACAATTGAATAATATGTTCATTGATGTGTTTAATTAGATTATGATTTAATTTTGAATTTAGGTCCTGGATGTTCATCTCTAGCTTATGGAGCAATGCAAGAATTGGGACCTTTTAGAGTAAACAGTGATGGAAAAACACTTCACCAAAATAGATACTCATGGAATTATGGTAAATATTACTAAATATGAAATTATAAACTCTCTTTTTTTTTATTATATACTTGTTACTATATAATAAAAACATATATGAGTTTAATTAAACGTCTAACTAATTAATCACTCAATTTGGGTTTTGAAGCTGCAAATGTTTTGTTCTTGGAGTCTCCAGTTGGAGTAGGATTTTCTTACTCAAACAAATCATCAGAGTATAGTAGCAATGGAGACAAGAAAACAGCTAAAGATAATTATTTATTTTTGGTAAATTGGTTGGAAAGATTTCCAGAATATAAAAATAGAGATTTCTATATTTCTGGAGAAAGTTATGCTGGACATTATGTTCCTCAACTTGCTCATACCATTCTCTATCATAATAAAAAGGCAAATAAGACAATCATCAACCTCAAAGGAATCTTGGTATGTTACTTTCTCCTTTTTAATTGTACCTTTTTTTATTTCCTATTAAAAATATTATAAGTTATTTTGTGAATTTTTTCAAATAATATATTATATATCATGGTATGAAAATAAAAATCAATTATGCTCTTACTAAGGCCCACTACTTTTTGTACGAGTCTAATATTTTAGAGTTTATTTATGGCTTATGATTGGCTTATTAACTTCTTTAGTAATGGGGTGTGAGATGAGAGGTATAAGAAAGAAAAAAGTAGTAGAAAGAAAGCGAGAGATGGGATGAATGATTCATCATCAAATAAAAATATATATATATAAAAATACAAAAGGATACATAAAAAAAAAAGTTATTAGACAAATTGGACAAAATAGTAGTTATTTTTGATAAGTGGTCCCTTTGGGAAGTTCCATGTTTTAGCTAAGAGACATTCTATTTTGTTATGGAAATCTATTTGGAATCTAGAAAGGTTTTAGTCCTTTGTGGACCATAAGCATTCCATTATCTTTTTGGTCCACCTTAGGCACTATACGTTGCATTATTATCATCATCATTATCATGAAGAATGATAGCGTTTGTCGATAATATTTCGTCTTTATAGGCGGCCTATCGCAGAGGGTCTAAAGTTTTCAACTGATACATTTTTTTGTAATGTACAGATAGGAAATGCAGTGATCCATGATACAACGGACTCAACTGGAATGTATGATTTTCTTGCTACTCATGCTATCATCTCAGACAAAGCAGCTCATTATGTCAACAAAGTTTGTGATTTCTCATCATCTGATAATCTCACTGCTGAATGCAATTCAGTTGCTGATGAAGTTAATGAAGATATTGCATTCATTGATTTGTATAACATTTATGCTCCACTATGCAAGAATGAGAATCTCACTTCCAAGCCCAAAAAGAACACTGTAAGCTTCAAATTTCAATATTATTTATGTTTTTAATCCTTATAAGTAGAACTATATGTATGCTTAATGTTTATTTGCTTTTTTGTAGATTGTGACTGATCCATGCAGTGAGAATTATGTGTATGCTTATCTTAATAGACCAGATGTTCAAGAGGCTATTCATGCTAATGTCACAAAACTCAAATATGAATGGAGTCCATGCAGTGGTGTCATTGGAAAATGGATTGATAGCTCTCCAACAGTTCTTCCTCTTTTACATGAATTCCTCAATAACGGCCTCAGAGTTTGGATTTTCAGGTTAAATATTCATTACCACTTTTCTTTTCGTTATCGGATACAAAAATCGACATCATCAAATTAATATTGGTTACTTTTTGTTTATATTATACAGTGGTGATACAGACGGAAGGGTTCCTGTTACTTCGACTAAGTATTCGATTAAGAAGATGAACCTTCCTGTTAAAACTGTTTGGCACCCTTGGTTAGCCTATGGAGAAGTTGGTGGCTATACTGAAGTATACAAGGGAGGCCTAACATTTGTTACAGTGAGAGAAGCAGGACATCAAGTGCCAAGTTACCAACCAGCAAGAGCTCTTACTTTGATTAAACATTTCTTGGATGGCACTCCTCTTCCTTCTCCAAAAATAAAGGCATAGTCTAATGAAAGCAAATTTAATTGTAATTGGATTTCTTAGATCCTAATTATGATCTTTCATTGATCAGATCTGTATAAATAATCATAATTCTTAATGAAATATCAAATTTGCATTATTCACATAGTTTTTTTATGCATTATTCACACAGAAATTTTAATGCTTAACATTTTAAGTAGTTCAAATTAATGAAATAAATTAAAGAATGTAAATTCAGTTATGTACATTTGACAAGGTATACTGAAAAAGAAACTGTTGACATAGGCGAAAATTAATAATTGCCCAAATTAGTTTTATGTACAAGTGACTAATTTCTCAGTTTCATATTTCAAAACAATCGTCATCTTCACTATCTATCTCCAATGAGAATTTGGTGGCTGATTTCATTAACTCAGTTAGTCCAGTTACATCTTCTAAGTAGGTAGGATGATTAATTGCTTCAAGTATGAACTCCATTCCACGGTTTCGATATTCCGATATAACCTGAATGTTGCAGTTTTACAAAATAAAGGGGATTAGGAAAATGATGATCACAGGCTTAACAAATTTAAGTATCTTTGTTGTGAGCCAGAAATTTAAGGCAACAAAGTAAGTTAATATATAAATCATGATAGCTGGAGGCAATGAAAACAGTGAAGTATACAACCGCGGAAGCAGTATCAGACACAATTCATCATTCATACTTACTGTGGGACAACAGGCTGTGCAGCTGGAGGAGGAGTGACCTATAAGGCTCATTTGAGAAAACAGAAAGGGAGCCACGAATCTGATGAGGTAAAATGCCAAGAGGGTCCTCAGAACCTCCGGAGACACTGTTGTTAATATCGGCTTCTGCAAATATCCTGAAAATGTGTAGTCAATATCTGAATTTCATGCAGGATACATAAAGCAGGTCAAAGAATCTTTTTAAGAATGTTCCACATAAAATCAATGTTGGCAGAATTACCCTTGAGGGTCATGCAAAATCCCTACTAAAAGTTCAACAGCAAGGGCAGAAGCAATAGGAGCTAGGCCCGGTCGGGTCACAGTACATTGCTGGTCTAGAGTGCGGTTGGACGTTGACTACAAGAAGCAAGTATGAATTAGTTAGTTATATATGTTGCATCTCTTCAAATATCAAACCACAATGCTGCATGTAAATTACATCAGTTGGTGCAACAACATCGTTGAAGAAATAGAATGCAGTCTATGTTTTCCATTTGCATCATTTACACACACATCGGCAGATGAAGAAGTAGCAGTTTCAGCACTCAAGTCACATGTGCTATTGAAAGGACCCGCTCCATGGCGCATAACCAAGAAACTTTCAAACCCTAGTGCTGCAGTCATGGTAATCTACAAATATATAAATATTTATGTTAATCAAGAAGGTTCAATCAAAACTATGTTAGCATTGGCACAGAGAAGTGTTGGGAGCCAACGACTTTCCCTTGTATCTGTCAATAAAAAAACTGCAAAATGAGCATCAATCAAATCGCACAAACGTCTGCAATCGTCAAGCACACTCTCATGTTCCTGGCTATTTACTGGGTGTCCAGGCATTGGTATAGCCATAACAATGCCTTCTGCTTCCTGAAAAGGATAAAAAAGACATTTGTTTGCGTGGAAAATTTTACTATAGGGTTTAGCTTTAAGTGAGGTTTTAGGAATTAATGTTCTACCACTGCTGGAAATATCCGTTTGAGACTTTCAACTGCTGCTGTAGCTTTAAACTCTCCGCCATTAAGACAGTTATCCACAAGTATAAAGAGACTGCCTCAATGGATTAGACATAGCCACCCTGCCATTGTCAACTAGAGTAATTTTTCAGACACCCCATGCCTGCAGCGAAAAATGTATGTTATCAAAAAAATTGAAATATTGAAACAACAAAAACAGCGTTTTCCCAATACTCACCATAAGCATGCGCGCAACCTGGCATCCAAGTGTGCCTGCTCCAAGGAGAAGACACTTGAGGGATGACAAAGCACCCAAGTCCAAAGAAATCACGCCGCTTCATATGCTTTAAATTCAAATCTGCAGCATATTCGGCCATCCTACAAAACACATTCAAAACAGTTATAAGTTGCTTTACAAAATAAAACCTACATGATAGAAAATAATGAAAACAATGAACCTAGTTGGATCCATGGACTGTGCAAGACTAATACACCTAGGTACTTTTCTTCCCTGATAAAGTTCCCATCCAACTGCTTTAGGCACAACATCTTTCCACCCTACAGAGTTACTCTTTTCATATTAGAAACCCGACAAAATAACAAGACTGGGATATCTATTAACAAAATAAGTGTCAGATAATTAATGCATATGTACCATGTGGAACTGTTAATAATGCTTCGCCAATGAGGGACAAGCTCATATCAGCAAAACCATGATTCTCTCGGTAGCAAAAAAACTGAACAGACTTGAGATTCCACCTTGCAGCAATAAGTGCTAAGAAATTGCGCAGAGGCCATCCAGGAATATTTGGGAGATGACACGGGTCGTAAAACCCAAATAGGATCTGCCAATAGAATCAAATAAAAATTCACAAAGACATCTATAGTTCCGTATCCCGTAAGTTCTATGTACAATTATGAATAAGTAACTTCAAAAAAAGTAGCAATTAACTAATATAACAAGAGTTTGAAAAAAGGGACCTTGTGAGCATTGCTCTGACAAGCTTCCCAGTCCTTCAAAGGCCTAAAGTAGCATGCAAGTTTGGATCTATAGTTATTAAAAAGAACGGGACATCTGTGACACAAATGTTCTCGACTATTAGGCAAAACTGTCGGTATAAGAGGAAGCAAAAGAAGCGATAAATGAGATTACTTCCACATGTTTGAGTAAATTTACCTGCTGTTGATTTCGAGCCACGTCACTTGTCACAGGCTGCATATCATTTATTTAAGGATAAAACAATGTCAACATCCATGAAAATAATGACCATACCAACAAAAACCGAGTGCTTAAAATAATGTAACTAAGAGCACCTGTTCCTTGCTCAACCACTGAGAAGCTGGACTTAAATTGACCACAGTTGCAGGAGGATCAATCATCAGAGCAGGGAAAGCAAACCAGTAATGAAAACTACACTTTTTCAGGTCAGCAAATGAAATAAGAAGAAATCTTGAAAGTACTGAACAGTCCTCCACAGCTCTTCCAGTTTGAATATCCTCCCATATCTAATTTAACAACAAATGGTAAAACTTATGTGAGACTAACTTTTATAGTCGGAACGTGGTTGCGTTCAATTACATCATCTTGTAATAATGTCTACATGAACTAAACAGTTTACCTTTCTGGCCTCTTCCTTTAACAAATTCTGTTTATCAAGTGCATGGAAACTCTCCACAGTATTAGTATTGTAAAGTATCCCTGAAACAGGACACTTGTTCCTGTTTCCGTGGCTTGGTTCTTGGATCAACGATGCTTCTCTTGATTCAGAAGGTAAAGACTCTGCTAAAAGAGTTAGATAATTTGATACTAGAGGGTGTGAGCATGGTGCATAGAAACCTGTAATCAAATTACAGCACTATAAAACGAATCGGGTATAAACACAAAATGCAATCAAGGTGATGCTTTGAAGCTTATTTTGATACAAATTACAATAATCACATCATAAGAACCTGTGTAAATGCTTAGCTTATCTTTATAATCCAAAATCATTTTTTAAAGGGATTAAGCACAAGTGCTTATCAAAATTGTGCTTAGCTTGAAAAAGATTGTACAATCATGAAAAAGAAAGAATATTTTTTACCAAATTGATTCAAAACAAAAATGAAAAAGAGTAACGAGAAAAACCTATGATGGGTAAGCTAAATTTCTTGGGCTTCAAGGAAGAAAATCTGTGCCAAAACCCTTCGTCAACTAAGCCATAGGAGAAAATTGAAGCGGGAGTTTCTTGGTATTGGGTTGAGATGGATTTCTCCGTATAGGGTTGAAGTTTGTTTTGGTGTTCTTGGGGTTTGGGATTTTGGAGGGAAAGAGAGAGAAAGCTTTGAAAAGAGTATAGAATGATTCGGATGGAAAGGGTTTTGGAGTTTTATATTAGAAGAGGATTTTAGAAAACTTTGAAAAGTTTACACTATAGGTTTATTTGCTTTAGTTTTTAAAAAAAATCAATTTTTTCTTTTTATTTTCAAAAATAATTTTATAAAGATGTTTTATAAAATGTTAGAAGTTTTTTAATATGTTTTTTTATAAAAAAATAATTAATTTTGAGATCTTATAATATAAACATATACTACATTATTAAAGATCAAAACATAGTCTTATATGTGTTGAGAAACTGCGGTGACAGTTGACCACAGTTTCTCTGATGCGGTAGAGTGGGGGCATGTAATATTAGCACTCCAAAATTCAAGTTAGTATGTAAGGGAGAAGAGTGAAATGAAATTGAATTTGAAATTTATTACCTCAATTCAGCGTCTTCTTTATATGGTTGGCGCAAAACAGTTTCATCACAAGCCCTTGTCGATGCATAGTAAGGCATAATTGAATTTATGATAATCCAATAAGATTGATGCATCGCAGACCTAAGTATACACATTAAATCTCTGTAAGCATGATCTAACCTAAAGACATGCAAACTATGCAATAATGCATTATTGCAATAACAATTATAAATGAATGCTAGAAAATTAAAGGAGGTAAGGGAAAAGAGAAAAGATACACAAAGATATATAATGATTTGTCGTTCGGCCTCACTTTTGCCTACCCCACTCTTCAATATTGTTAAAGAACCATTAAAAAATAATCACAATCTTCCACTATTTTGATAAGTTTGATACATGCATTTTGATTACAATGAACTATTATCACAAGATAATTCTCTCTGTTGATGCAGACACTCAAAATGATACCAAAAACAAGATCCCCAAAAATATTTATCCAACAACCTTGATATCTATATTAACCTACTCCAAGTATTCGTGTGTAGAAATCTACATGATCCCACTGATTTCTTGTCTGAGCGATTGCCATTAGCTAAGCATTAATTGGACAACTCTCAACTTTGTTTGCAATCATCATTTCCATAATCTCACCAAAGTTGGTCATCTTCCAACTCCTCCTTACTAACAATTTGTGCTAGGCTTCGCCAAAGTCTTCCATGAAGTATACTGAAACTCTCTTCTTGATAGATATCAATAAGGTCCAAACTGTGAAGAAGATGTTCATCATCTATCTTAATTTAGTTTTGATGAAGACAAAAGCTTATCAAAGAAGAAATATCAAAAAAGAAAAAGTTTGGAAACAAGAATGCATAAGCTTATGGATATTTTGGAAGTAAAGGAAATTGATCTTGATGCTATGGTGCTCAATTGCAATTTCTTGTGAATAAACTATAGATGCTCAAAAACTAATACTCATCCTCATCTCTAAAGTTATCAAATTATCATATATAAAAATATTTAAAGCAAAGGCATAAAAAGCTAAATTTTAAAAAAGTTGTCTGCACTTTTTAAGTTAGGTCTAGTTAACCGATTTAACAAAACTTGTTGTTGTTTAAAATTTGAAAAATTATTTGAAATTCAAAAATCATGAAAAGGAATACGGTGAGCCCATCTTATCTGTCGGAAGGTTCCGTATTTTATTCAATTGTCTCATTCTTCAACAGAGAGAGGAACTTAGATGAGTCCATTTCCGATGTTGGTGAATATTCGCTTTAGGGGCTTACCATTCTTGATAATGAAAGCATAATTTATAACGATCATGGTAATTGTATCATCCCTCAGTATGAGTATCTATTTTCGTCTCTGGTGGTCTATTTTCCTTTCACTGCTTTTCGAAGTGGATGTTTTTAACCATTTGATGGTGGCTTCATATCAACTCGATCCGGCGCCTTCTTTATATGGTTAGCGCAAAACAGATTCCTCACAAGCCCTTGTCGATTCATAGTAAGGATGTCATACCCTAATTTTTACCCCTAGGATCCCATCTTATTTGCATTTTTGCATTGCATCAAGATCACAAACTTGGTTGTCTTTTAACCCTCTCATCTTCATTTATTGCTCATTTGCATTGATTGATGTTTTTGTTGGCATATTACCCTATTTGCAGAGTTATGTTACCCTCTTTCCAATAAATTGTCAACCTTAAGCAGAAAGTGTATATCTTTTCAATTTCCCTACTGAGTTATCCCTCGTGGAAGAATTTTTCTTTAGCCTTCCTATTCAGCTCATTATCTGGATGGAATGTGATCCCCATTTAAGCTTATTCCTCATTGGGTGTTGTCTTGGTTGACTGTTTCACTCCAGTTTATTCCTGGTTTGAATATGTGGTTCCCGACAACATTGTTATTTTGATTCATGTGGGCTTTGAGCCCTGGATTGAGAATGTGCATTTATTTTGCACGAGAAGACTTTATTACCTCAGCAGGAATGTATTGGCACTTCCCCAGAAAGCCAAGATTCATTTCCCCGCAGCGTTATCGCAATCCTCTTCATAAACAACAAGTGATAGGTCTCTTTATTTGAGCAACCTATTCTTCCCCAGTAAGTTTGTTAATGCCAGAGAATATGTTTTACTCCGATGAATGGTAGTCTCATTGTTATGGGATATAGTTCATTATTGTGATCTTTACCCTGATGAATGGTAGTCTCGTAATTATGGGAGATAGTTCATTGTTGAGATGTTTACTCCGATGGATGGTAGTCTCGTCATTATGGGAGATAGTTCGTCGTTGAGATGTTTACTCCGATGAATGGTAGTCTCGTCTTTATGCGAGATAGTTCGTTATTGAGATGTTTACTTCGATGAATGGTAGTCTCGTCATTATGGGAGATAGTTCTTTGTTGAGAAGCTTACTCCAATGGATGGTAGTCTCGTCATTATGGGAGATAGTTCGTTGTTAAGATGTTTACTCCGGTGAATGGTAGTCTTGTTATTATGGGAGATAGTTCATTGTTGAGATGTTTTACTCTGATGAATGATAGTCTCATCATTATGGGAGATAATTCGTTGTTGAGAAGTTACTCTAATGGATGGTAGTCTCGTCTTTATGCGAGATAGTTCGTTATTGAGATGTTTACTTCGATGAATGATAGTCTCGTCATTATGGGAGATAGTTCTTTGTTGAGAAGCTTACTCCAATGGATGGTAGTCTCGTCATTATGGGAGATAGTTCGTTGTTGAGATGTTACTCTGATGGATTGTAGTCTCGTCATTATGGGAGATAATTCGTTGTTGAGATGTTTTACTCGGATGAATGGTAGTCTCGCCATTATAGGAGATAGTTCATTGTTGAGATGTTTTATTCCAATGGATGGTAGTCTCATCATTACGGGAGATAATTCGTTATTGAGATGTTTACTCTGATGGATGGTAGTCTCGTTATTATGGGAGATAGTTCGTTGTTGAGATGTTTAATCTGATTAATAGTAGTCTCGTCATTATGGGAGATAGTTCGTTGTTGTGATGTTTACTTCGATGAATGGTAGTCTCTTCATTATGGGAGATAGTTCGTTATTGAGATTCACTTTGCTCTAAAAAATTTCATTTGTTTCCAGTCATAAGTATCGATTCCAATCATTTGTTACCTACCCTAATATTGGTATTTACTGGTATTATCTTACCATTTCTATTTTCATCCTTCGGGTTGTTAATTTCCTATTCCATGAGAGTCAATGTTACTCTCTTTTTGGTATCCCCTCTAGGAGTAGGATGTTTGCAGTTATCTGTTGATCGTTATCTTCCATTACTTTTTCCTTATTTATTGAGTTAGTGGTGTCTCATCTCCTCTTTGGGCCTTACCCTAGTAGATTTGAGTCTTCTCTTCCCCAGCGATTTAGTTTCCTGGTTGAACTCTCTTTTTGATCTTTTGTTTTATTTCCCGCTTCCCCAGTGGTGTCATGTGTCGCCTTTGGAGTTGGTCATTTGCATTCATAATCATAAGCATTTCATGGCATCTTAGGACCAATAATCGGGATTGTTTTATATTTAAGTATCTTCAATCACTCCGAGACGAAGATTTTAACCTTCGTATCTCTAGATAGAAGACACTTAAATAAGGGCAGCTTTTATACCCTAATTTTTACCCCTAAGATTTCTCATCATCTCACTTTTATCAATACATCAAGATCATACATTAGGGTTGGTTCTCTCTTTTTACTTTATCCCATCTTTAAGTTTGATCTTGAGGGATTACCAAGCACCTTGAATTGTGTATCTTGTACATATGTTCTTTTAATTAATATCAAAGTATGTGTATATGTCTCTTTGAATGATCATATTGTATGTAATGGCACAATTGCATTCATCTCACCATCTCTTAGCACAGAGGGTCAAAACTAGGGTTTTGAATTTAATCATGAAATTTATGGCTTTTTGGGCAAAACTTGATTCCATGCTTCTCTACATGTTCACGATCATCTATGATTGGAAGGTTGATCATCAATTTTGATTGGAAAAGGTTCAATTGATCAAAAGGGGTAAAATGGTCATTTTGTCAAAAGTCAACCAAAGTCAATTGTTGACCAAGTGGACTTTTGGTCAACCATCAATTCAATGTCCTTATTTTCACATTTCATGGTCAATGGTGGCACAAGATCAAGAAGAAGTGTTGAATTAAAGATAACTTGTCAAAGAAGTTACTTGAAGTTTTGAGTTTTTCCAAATGTTCATAGTGTTGAACTTTGATTGATCATAACTTTCTCAATTTTTATTAAAAAAAGGGAAAACTTTAAATGGTTGGGAAGAGGATGAAATTTTCTTCAATTTTGTCCTTGACACAAAAGTTCAAAAAGTGAAACGAGAAGAAGTTATTGAGCTTGGAAAATTCTAGACACTTAGTGAGATTTCTAAATATGTGCACAAGACCTTATTTCTTCATGGATAATTTTAAATGTCCATTTGAGCTTAAATAAAAAAGTTGTCAATATAATAATTAGAGTTTGAAAATTTCTCTTCACTTTTGATTCAAGAATCATCTTAAATGATCAAGTGTAGAGAGAGATATAAGGTTTAGGATTCAGGCCTAGAGATGGCAAGTTTTCCCAGCAAAACGAGGCCTCGCGCAGAATTTGATCAAGCAGATGGTGGGCATACCTTCACCATCACTTTTCTTATTGAATTAATCATAACTTTTAAAATGTTTAAACATCAAAGTTGGAGATTATTGTGTCCCCTTCAATTTTAGTTCAAGGTTCATTTGAGTTTGAGCATTATGGAGAAAGTTGTAGGGAGGTGAACTTAAGGGCATCATGTGTTGTTTTTTCTGGCCAGAAGGCATGCCCGCGTGTGCATCTATCTAGTTATTACATCAAACATTTGGTTTTCCCATGTTCATGATGCTTTATCTTGTGATTCAAGCTTCAATTGAAAAAGTGATTCAAAATGGGGTTGTAATTGGATGTGTAAGCTATCAAATGGTTTTTGAATCCCAACAATTGGATAAAAATGGAGAAATATGCGTTGCTTGCAAGTTGGGACCTCAAGTTGTAATATCTTCATGCATGCATGCACACAACGCGCACGCACCTTGCCTTGCCAGACTTCTTTTTTCCAAACTTCTTGCCAACTATTCTTCATGATCCAAGCATCATTTTCAAAAATTCAAAGCTCTATAATGATCTATGTTGTAAGAGATTTCTAAAGGCCTCTCAAGCAAAAAAAAATCACACGTGCCAATATTGGGATACTTGAGTTACAAGCTAGCTCATCAAGTGGACCATGCCAAATTGTTGCCAACTTTGTCCCTCTAACGATTCTCAAGCCAGGGACCATTACGCCCTCACTCTACTGGATCTATATAAACAAATGCTCCCTCTAATTATGACACATACGCTCTCTCCTTCACCATAATAAAAAAACATAATTCTCATTGTTCTCAATTTTTTCGAAGCTTCGCTCTCTCGCCCTAGTGCTCATCTCTTCATCATTTCATCTCCATTGAAGCTTGAAGCTGAAGAAGATCAGGTTTCTTTCAAGTTCAGAGGCGTATAGTGAAATTATTTTTCACTTACTTGAGGTAAATGTTCTTGAGCTTCGATCTACATTTTCTGCTTGCATTCATGATGTAGATCTTGTATGATAGTGTAGCTAGCCAGATATTAGATCTGAAGTATATACATGTGTGTTTTGATGATAAATTTATGCTTTGCAAGTTGTGAAAATTTTGCATGATACAGTGACTTCATGCTACCTTTGTGCTTCGATCTTGCTTAATTTTAAAAATCCATAAGCATCTTCATATTCCTTGCAATTTTGTGATGAATTTTGATGTTTGGATCAAGTAAAATGGTTAAGAATCGAGTGAGATATTTGAGTGAGAAAATTGTTTGTTGAATTGCTTAAAAAATTGAAATCATGTTCATGCAGCAACTTTCGCGCCCAAATTTCTCTATGATTCATGCATCATTTCATAAAATTCTTGATCCTATTGTGTTCTATGCATTTTCATCTTGAACTTTGGTGTTTACATTTTGAATTTTCATGGAGAAACGAGTAAGAAATCGTGGTCTGAACATCATGTGTTAAAACTCAAAAAACGTTAGGGATGGGTGTGTTGGTAGGGACGATGACTTGTCGGTTTTTGACTAAACATGGATGATTTTCTTTTATAGCGCCTTTTGATCATAATAGGTGTGGTAGATCTGAGTTATATTTGAATTTTACTTCATTTTAATTGTTTTCTCCAATTTAATTTTAATAATTTTATTAATTCAAAAATTACCAAAAAAATATTTTTGACTTCTTTTTTTAGTCTATTTTCTGATTTTGATTTTGATTTCATTATTTTATCATTTTTGCATGATTAATTAATTCATATAGAATAATTAGGGTTTTAGTTCTCTTTTAAATTATAGATTTTTATTTCTAATTTTCATTAACCTAAAAAATCCATAAAAAATATTCTGAGTTAAACCTTGAGTCTACTTCTTAAAAATAATTTTTTCCTTATTTTATAAATTTTGTGGTATGTTAATTAAATCAATTGATTGGCTATGTCACTTTTTCTTTGTTTTTTTTTTTAATATTATGTAAATAATTTTTGTTTAATTCTTTCTTTCAAGATAAAAGTCCATAAAAATATGTTTAACATTCCTTAAAGATCAATCTAATTGTTATTGATTTTTAATTGAATTTACAGATCATTTTACTTATTTTTCAAAATTTTAGAAGTTAATTGTTATTTTTGAGGTCTTTTCTTGCTTAAGCTTAAAGAAACCAGTAATCCCCTAACTTCCTTCACTTCTAAAAATCAAAGAAAAATATGTTAAAAGTTCCTAGATGAGTCAAGATCATTTAAACCTTTTTTCTGTAAGTATGGTCTTACATTTTCTTCAAAATATTTTATGAAGCATGCCTAGTTTTAGTGTTTTGCCAATTAGTTTTGATGTTTGAGTTTCAAAATCATATTTCCTCCTCTTTTTAGGAACTTTTGACTATGCTTCTGACTTTTAGAAGTCTTTAGGGAATTAGAATTAAATTGACATAAATTTACAAGTCATTTTCCTATTTTTAACCTAATTTTGACTTAGGAGTATGCTTAGGGTTTTGCTTTGATAAAAAAGTTTGTATTTAAGAACTTGTATGCATAGTTTTTGGCTAACTTTTGGCATGTCATATGCTACTGACTTGGGTGTTATTTTGGGACAAATTCCTCAACCTCATTGTATCTTGGGTGTTGATAGGTTGAAAAACCAAATCCACCAAAATGGATGAATGATATTGACGATATTTGAAACCCTAATTTCATCTGATACATCCCCCCTCTTTATCGTATCCATTTCTTACTTGTTTTAGATGTTGTTGGATAATGATCTACATATCATTTCTCTAACATATGGTACATAGATTGATATTGACTGGCCTCAAAATAGGTGTGACTTCTACATAAGTCTACTTACAATTGCTTAACATAGCGCTAAATTTATCCCGATTTGAGAAATGATTATTCATGACCCAAACCTATGTTTGCAATCCCAAGCATATTAATTTGAAACCTTTGATCAAATAGCCTTGAGGTTTATTGTTAGGAGGCTTTGACCTTATCAATCCTCTAATGAACCTTCATAAACTTTGGTCTAAGTGAATCATTTGAACATCGTTGATCATATGAGGTCGTCTTGAGCATTTGAAATGAATGATATACTTGAAAAAAAGCAAACGAGACTTGTTATTGAGAAGCTTTGATATTATCAATCTTTTAATGAGTTTTTGAATG